CCCCCATACCTTCAGAATTGGATCCAGTGGGTAGGCAGTGGAACACAGAGTATGCATATTGTACTGCGGCCATGTCACCCAACTCTTGCTTGTCTTTAAGGATATTTGATGTCCCATCCGCCTTAAAATCTCAAATTGTGTATGCAGCCGTTTATAGAGCAACATTCAAACGCACCTCTATCATTGAAAATATACCTCCTGGTTTGAGCACTCGGTGAATTTCTTTAAGACACTGAAGTGAGATTATTTAATGATTAATCAAGGAGTTTCACAATGATGGGTTGCAATCCTTCTGTTAGTGAGCAGATTGCTGAGCCATCTGGCCCTTTCATATGAAATCCGCGACTTAAAACTAGTCATTATTTCACTAAGGAACTGTTGAATCTGGAAACATTTCGTAGGAAGAAACCTCAGTAGAGCAACTTTGTAATATTTTCCAACTGTAAAATTTCTAGCAACATGTAATTTTTGTGTACAGTCAGATTCATGACTACAGCATTTGAGTTTCATTTTGCTGGAGTACAGACAGATCACGATGATCTGCAATATTGAGTTTTGTTCTCAACTTTACATCATTTTTCCAGTTAAGTACCCTAGTTTGTCTCTGATCAGTCCCCTGTTTGTCTAACTAATGCATAATTGCACAAAAAACTATGAAAATGTGAAATAAACTCTTTGCAGATTAATCCTAATAATGTCTGATGGCCCAGCATGCTCGGATCATACTTTTATGAAAGTTTTCTGCACCTCACCAAATCGGGTCTCATTTGATCATGACAGGCGTCAAAAATGGTAACCAAATCGAACTTATCCGACCAATCTTCATCCATTTTTGCACCATCCATTTGAACAAATGACAAATTCTCATACGTTTGACCATTGTCTTTTCTGAAAGAAGTTGTTTTGAACAGTTGCATGAACCCTATGTAGCTCTAGGACAAGTACCTTTTTTGATTTGCCATGTGAACGGCTTCAAGTGTGATATCGATTCCCGTGAAGTTGGATTTTGGGAACTTGTCAGCTAAGTAAGACGTTTTAAAGTTGAAACAAAACAAAGTAGCAAAGAAATAGCCAACCAAGGAGAGCGGCATGAAATCCTCTGCCACAGCCAACATCTAAGCACATCATTCCACCCTTTTCCAAACGATCCTAAAAAAGGGAAAAAATTAAAAATAACTCTATAGATAGGCCGCTGAACGAGGAAAACAGAAGATGATTTAGTTAGATAGATATAATCTTTATGATCTAGAAATGTATATTCTGGGGGACTAGAAAGGAATATCAGAACTTTTTGATAGTATTCAGCAAAGTTAGTAATAATTTGATATGAAATGATTAATTGAAGTACAGCCGAATTAGATTCTTTTCAATTGTAAATTCTTATATGTCCTCAAGGAAAGGACGAATAGATGAAAAAGCGCTCACCTTCATATCTGGAGCAAGAGCTGGAAGAAGATCTGAGATAAGATGCCTCTGATGCAACGCCTC